TTCAATAGCTTCGTCCCCTTCTAGCCTAGCACCTTGAGCTGTAGTTATAAACCTCTGCTCTAGGCTCGTCTCATTTCTTAGGGAGTTTAGATGGTTCCAAAATTTCGCAGCTGCCTTTTCTATCTTTTTCATGCACTTCTGCCAGCCACTGGGCTCCCTTTCTTCTAATCTTTTCATTGATCAGAAGGGATGCATCCCTTCTACAGCTTAGAAAGATTTCCCATTTTCTTTCAACATCACCTGTCGGTTCACCCCGCTGCTTAGCATGTCTGTGTTCCCTAGAGGCTTCCTGACGTTTTGCTATGGCTCTCTTAACTTCCTCATCCCACCAAGTTTTGGGTTTATGTCTTCTTTTCCGGGGTGACTTGTCACATGCCTTAGCAAGCTCTAGCTCAAACAATCTATTACTTTCTCGCTTTGTTTAGTGGCTATTTCAATTTGCCTTTCTGAATAAAAATTTTCCTGTAGTTGCTCATCTTGTCTCCTTCCCACTTTCACTGCTCTTCCAAAACTTAGCTTGATACATTTGTGATCACTACCCAGACTTCTGGAGCCACCTTCATCTATGTGCATTCCCCTGAGCTTATCATACATCCTATGTGACATCAGTGCATTATCTATCGTCAACTGTAGCCTTCCTACCTCCCATGTTATTTGCCCTTCACACTTTTCGGTACTGTTACAAATGATCAAATCAAGCCTTTCACACATATTCATGATCATTTTGCCTGTCGAGTCGGTATACCCGTCTATATCTTCTATGTGTGCATTCATATCTCCTAGTATAATTATCTCGCTCTCTCTTCCCAACTCCTGAATGTCCTTTGATATACACGCTACCATCGCCTGGTTTTCCTCTCTGGCCTTTCCTCCCATCCACAAGTACACGAAACCAAGGAGTGTCATTTGCCCTGCCACTTTCCCTTTTAGCCATAAATGTTCCCTGCAGTTCTGACCGACCCCTTGCCAGTCTGTACTTTTATGAATGAATGCCCCAATACCACCCCCTTTCTGCTGTCTTCTGTTCTATTACAATATTCCCACGCGTAGTCCGAATTGTTCGGAGGTTGTTCCATGTCCCTGAGATGTGTTTCTACAAAACCGTATACCATCGGCCTCTCTTCCCTTAGCTGTTCTTCTATCTCTTCCCACTTCAGCTTGTTCCTACCACCCTGCATGGTAATATACCCTATGTCTGAATTGGCTCAGCGCTCGTGGCTACGTCTATTTCTGCCCCGGACTCTACCTATCTTAGATACTGGTGCCACTTTGGAAACGTATCTGTCCATACCCACTGTCAAAGAGTCCCCCTGGTTGTTTTCCTCGTTACTATAGCTATAATGCACCCCGAAGGGCCCATTTGCCCCCCCAAAAAAGCTACTGCATGTCCTGCAAGTCGCCAACCTACCTCATGACCTGGCCGCCCATCGAAGTGAATTCTGTCTCGTTGAAAACCACCCCACCTATGCACCTCTGTGTTTATTTCCACCACCTCAAAGCCTTTCCCTCGACTCATCCGTCATATCTCTTGGTTTGCGTTGACAACCGCTCTTTGCAGGTTGCTATCACGCACCGGTACCTCCGGTATCGTGCATATCACTACATGTACCTGAGGAGAAGTGGCGCGCATGTCGTCGACGCCTTTCGCCAGTGTGGTTGCTAGTCCTGCTGTATTTTCATTCAAGACATCGTTTAAACCGCCTGAATTTATCACGAGGTTTCGTCTATCAGCAGTAGTTTTGAGTTTTGCGCTCACTTGCCTCATGACTGCTTCCAGCTTGCGTCCTGGGAACGCCCCTACTGCAACCCTCTTGTCACCTCTTACCCTCTCTTTGATGGCTTCTGTGCATCGATTTAAATTCGAGTCCCCGGCGATTATCACATTCTGTGAATTTTCAGCTGGAGTGTCCTGCACCTGGGGACTACTTGCACCTGTGAGGCTGGCTGCTCTGTCCCCTCCCAGCCCCACCACTACTTCGCTGAAGCTGGGCCTTGCGACAGTTGAACCGGCTGAACCTGTTTTTTCCAAACTTGCTTGCTCTTTCTTCTCCGCCATTCTGGTTGCCGGTTCTCTACTGTTCTCTGCGTAGGCTGCTCCTCTGTTCACCTTGGCTAGTGCTTCCTCGGCGGACTTCAGCCTTTCTCCCATTGCCCTCGTTTTCTCTTGCTCTGTCGCCAACGCAGACTCGAGCTCGGCGATTCTCATCAGCAGTTCACTGTGGGTAACCATCATTTTCTCCATTTTTTTTCCTCGACAAACATCATTTTCTCCACTTTTTCCTCGACCTCACATTGCCTACACTTCGCGTCATTCTCTTCTCTATCCGCTTCTACACTTGGGTCCACTTTCAAACCCACTCCACATCCTGAACACTTTACAGTCTTTTTAACTATGCCTTTCTGACACCAATTGTCCCTATACTCGAAAATTACTAAACTCGAGCCCTCTCTACAAAAAAAAGAAAGTCTAAGCTCTACTACAAAAATTTGCGTGTTCAATGTACGCGCACCTCCCCCATGGGGTGGCGAAAGAAAAAAAAACTACAAAAAATTCAAACACACACACACGCACTAACTAATAAATACCTGGTGACTGGCCCTCGAAAAAGCCGTACCATAAATGTGCTACGAAGATTTCAACTGCTGCCTTACAATTATAAAGACAAGCTCAAAACATGCAGAAACACTTATCTGCACAGTCGATAGGGAGCGCCCAAAAAACACGTCCATCCACCGTGACAGTCCGAACCGATCTGCATCCGAACCATCCGAACCGATCGCTGCATCACCGCGCCCTGCGGCCACCGCTCACAGCGCACAAAGCTCTCCCGTAGAGTTACGGCGAAGCTTCACGACCAGTAAAGGTATTAAATGGCTGTGGTATATAGTAAAGCAAAGGGGAAAGAGAAGTGAGAGTGTCGAGGAAGAATATGAGGAAGGAAGGGGGTAATGCAGAGCATAACTTCAATGGCCTTGTTTAGTACAATATAGAAAGGCGATTGGTAAGGTAAGGTGGGGCGAGGAGGGTGTTGTGTGGGTGAGGATGAGCAAAAGGAGGAGGGTAGAGCCACCAGTTCCATTGGTATGGTGGCCTTCTCCTCCTCGTTACCCCAATTTGCTGAAAGCATAACTTTGGCCACTCTTTCTTGACAAGTTATAAGATTTACGAAAACATCATCGAGAACCATTCGTGCACTTTCGGGCAACCTGCAGGCAACAAAACGCTCAAAGGACCCTTCGAGTCCTCTTAAAACGAGCGCATTATCATTATATTTTAAAGATGATAGTCGGACCTTCAACGCAAAAATTTTGGGCTGTCTGTCTGTACATTTGTCTGTTTGTCCACTCTTACCAGCATTGAGTACTTGAAACATCACCCCATCCGCAGCGACCACCAATGTTGCTCAAGGTTGAGCGTTCATGCTTGTGCAATTGTCAATTAAAAATCAATTATTGCGCATGTCTGTGGCACCATAACAACACGCATTATATTTTTCCTCGGGATTCGTCAATCTTACTTGGTGTTCCATTTATGCTGTAACCAGTATCGGCCCGTTTGAGCGTTAGATGGCTAGGAAGTAATCGTTGTATTACACCAACCCCTGACTACAATTATCTGACGAAGTTTTCCACTTAAGAGCGGCTGTAAGCCATGGCGACTTGTTGGAAAGGGAAACGTATTAGTTGGAAATAAAATGACAAGAATGCAGTCAAGTAGCATATCTATACCGGCTCAGCTGTTTCCTGACCGTATTCGTAAAGCTGTTTCTTGAACTTAAAAGTCGCATATGCCCGTGACACCATATTGGCTCACTTCTTATTGGACTTAAACATCCATTTCGGCTACGCTATCACGCCATCTAAAGGTTATCCGTTACAGAAGAATGACTAAAACTTGACACGCATATATGTCTGCCCTGAATCTATAAGACTGAATCTAAAGTAATGAGTTACGGAGCACATTTGGAACATTTTTTTGTCGCGAGTTACAGTTAGCGTCACAGTTAGCACAATACTACCAATTGTTGATGAGACCTTCAATCCATAGACGTTCAACATTAGAGGTTATAGAAGAACTAAGCCAGCAGCCATCGTAAAGTCTGGGAATTGAGGCTAGCCTGCCACCTAAGCGCGGGCTTTTTCGCCTATTGCGGCCATTGTTGTCCTAACATGACTGTCTCTCCTCCACGTTCCATCAGCGCTGGGAGAGAAGGAGTAACGTTAACTTCTTTGAGAGCAGTGCTGTGTACTTTTACGTTGCGCTCAGTGCCTTGGTTGCCCGAAGACGCGTATGCAGTGGCGTTCGTCACGCGAGGCAATGGTGAACGCGGGCCTGTTGCTCACTAAGACCAAACCCACGTTAATGGTCGTACTCCTTCGGCATAAGTGTACACTACACTGGCGCCCAAAGTACACTGCAAGATGAAGATGTAGATTGTGGACTTCTGACTCACACGCACTCAGGGAGATCGGCAGAGGATAGTAACGTCATGATCGAACGTTTTCGCGACCTCTTCTCCTCCACCTTTTCTGGCCGGTTGTGTTCATTATATTTTCTAAATTTGTGGCACTTGATCAAAATCAAGTCTCAGGCTAAATTGCTGCGTGTTACAGCTACATATTCCATTTACACTTTTGCAGGTATATATGCACTTGAGCAAACAATTTATGTTGAGACTTCATGCAGATGTCACTCTCAGTTGAAGTTTGCTTACACCTGATGAAAACAACAGTAAAATGGTTATCATGGTATGTATTATTAGATTATGAGAGATATATGTACGAGTGACTTATTACGATTAGCCTGAAAATGTTTTAGCAATACGTACAATGTGAGCATGGATAGCAATCAAGCTACAAGTATTGTGGGAAATACTTTGTCTCACTCTTTCTGTGCTAAATTTGTGTTCAACACCTCCAAATGAAACGCGTTGCTTTGTACAAATGCTTGGTGCGCTACAAAACACAGTTATACATGCGCACATACAGAGAGCATTTACCTGTGTGGTCTTAGCAAGTTGAGGTGCTGTTCTTCATCTGCCACAAACCCTTTCACTGCAAGAGACACAATAAATTGATATTCAATTCGGGAGCTTCCCTATAAAGAAAAATACGTTTTGCATGAGCAGTGTTTCAGATATTCTCTCAAGATTCTGCATTTGCATAAGCATTGTGGGGCAAGCAAATGAAACTGACATGAATAAGTAACACAGTTCGCTAAAACATCAGACGTAAATTATGGAATTCAAACATCCAACTTTTTCCCCGCTACCGACGGTGAAGGCAGAAAAATAACGCGATGACCGTAAGGACTGAGGCTGTAGCCAGTGTGGGTGGTGGAAGATACAGACAACGCTAGAAAAACTAAGTACGGGTTTTCAATATTGACATTGTACTCGTAACATTACGCGTGTAAAAACATTATACTAGTAACAACCAAAATACTGCTCGGATATTACACGAGTATGTTGTTCGGAGTTGGTCGCAAAAGTTTGACAGATCCCACACCTTGTGGGAATCGGTTTCATGCGAACCAGTCGGGGAATAATCATTTATGCTGCATTGTACTGGCTTTTTGTCCAGCGTTAGGAGATGCATCAATCTTCTTTTATAAGTGTAGTACTTATGTGCACATCATGACTTTACCAGGAAAGTTCATTACGCTGCAGCTTGAAAGATAAATTACGCTTTGACGTAACGTCAGCCCCCACTGACGCCAATATTATTAAAGCAAAGTGCACTCTACGACCCGATGATGTGATTTTTATCCGTAACTTTTAGTAGCGTATTTCTCTGGAGTGGAGAAACATTGTAATACAGCTTGCCGAATCATATCAATGCAAATCTAATGTTTATTAGACTGCTATAAAAGTAAATCTGGCGCTGAAAGCACAATTGACGTTAACCTGACATGACGCCTGTATTATAGGAGTATTTATATAGTGTTCGTTGCTTTGTTTTAAAATTGCATAAGCAGCATTGCAACCATAGACAACTGTCGTTGCACCAACATCAAGTCTGTTTAGGCTCTGGAAAGAGAGCCTAAACAGGTCTGATTCTAAACAGGCTAAAGAGCCTTGAACAGGCAAAGCAGTTTCAAAGTCTGGTGTGGCTCTGTGGTATAGAATACCCGCGTGTCACGCGGACCGCTTGGGTTCGATTCCTTCTGGGATCTTGGTTTTAGGGAAAAAGATCCTCTTAGTCTAACAGATGGACAAACAGGCAGACAGACGGACGCATGGACAGACAGACATACGGAAAGACAGATAGACCGAAAGACAGATAGACGAACAGGTAGACAGGTGTACGAACGGACGGACGCTTCGCCCAACTCATCATCTTTCACTCCGTGGATATGCCGCGATTTTTTTAATCGTATCATTTGTCGAGTCAACGCTGGCGCTGTCTGTTTTTCGGAAAGCTCTCGCATTTGAATTACCGGTGTCTGCTCTCGCCGTTCTGTGGTAGGTATAAAGTCTCAATCACCTCCAGCGCATACCTGTATACCACTGCCCGTGGTATACGGGTATGTGCCACACATGTCTTGAGGAAAAGGTTTGACAATCTAGCGTGACAGGATCTTTATGTTATGAGCAGACAGACATGTTGATCAAGCTCTCCTTATCTTTTCACACGAATTTTAGTCTTCAGCACAAAAAAAAGATGATCACGGGAATGCCCATACGTAGGTAGCTAGAGGAAGAGAGAGAGAGAGAGAGAAAGAGATAGAGAAGCTTGTTTACAGAAAGGCGGAGAGGTCGGCCTGAGCGTGGGCCTGCTCTAGCCTGCTACTCCACACTGGGGGACGAGAAAGGGGAAGAGAAAGAGTATACGATGACAATGGTGAAATAGAGAGGTGAGTATACACAATTCTTTCCAGCTGAAAAAATGTTATAGCCGTTCATATGGCCTATAGTTGCTTTTAAAGAGGCCATAACCGTTCTTACGACCACAGTTGCACTGTTGGGGGTCAGGCCAAGGGCGCAACACGATCTAATCAGTTAGCTACTGCGAAATCGTTCAGTACAAGAAATGAGTGTGCCGTTCACGTGCGTGTGCTGGGCAATCACAAAATATGTGCTCAAGTGTTTCTGGCACATCACAGTGTTCATAATGGGACCAGTGGCACTGCGGACAATGATATGTGCGTAGCTTCTTGTGTACGCCACACTAATACGAATGCGGTGGATCGTATTTGCTATGTGCCACTCCAGTTTAGGAGACATGCGGAACCTCAATTCCGGGTCCCATTTGTGAAATCCCCGGCGTAGCCCTTCCGGTTCGGTCCAGTGCTAAAGGTACATAGAAACAGTGAAAGTGCTTTAGGTCCGCTAAGAAATGCTTCACGTTTAATATATGCAGAGGCATATTGTATACTTTGGCACCTCATCGTAATGTCTTTTGGTGATGATAATATAGCTGAAGGCTCAAATGATCAAGGTTCGCAGTCCAGTAATTGCTACCTCCGCGCATCGCGCATCGCTTTAGCGTCAGTTCTCCACGATAAGCACACGAGAAATAAATGATGATCTAAAGATCCGGCTGAATACGCCTGCTTAAAAAGTGACACATATCAGTGGCAGCCAGTAGCTGCTCTTTGGACACGACTCGCCGTCAAAAACGCAAGGTAGACTTCTACCAAGAAGGCGAAGAAAAATCCTAGCATTGCGCCATTTAGGAAGCTCAACAAAATGTAAGGCAACGAAGGCTAACCGACTTGTTGCAGCAGCTCTGGGACAGCATTGACGGTGAGGCAATACATCGCCGTCTTTCAAAGATCTGCCGCTGCGTGAATGGCATGCCACCTCTCAATGTTCAACGACGGACGATTTGGAAATACGCTCACGTCGTGGCGTCGCCACCATGTCTCAGCTTGTTTCATCCGCTGTTGCCACCCGAGATGCTTTTCTAGAGATTAAGCAGCAGTAAATAATACAGCCTATAGTGTAGCAAAGAATAAATCTTTTACTTTCTTCGCTTCACCCAATCTAAAAGTCGTTTTTGAACTTGTACATATAAAATATACTTAAGTGATTTCATCTGCTACCGTGATTAACTCTATTTGGTCCTTACTGAACAGCGCTGGAGTTATTGCGATATTGTTCATGTACGTCGTACTCATTGATCGTTTTTATACTTCAGCCATTGCTGTAGTTGTTGTATAACACTGATTTATTGCTGCTTTCCTTGTCATGTGCATACGCTGTCTTTAATGCATGCATTCTTCTTCGTAAATCGCCCCGCAGTCTTCGCGCTCTGGGACACGAGTTCATAAGATGTCTCTCTCGTTTGGGTATCACCACTTAGCTAATAGGCAGTTTCGGAATAGGCTGCGCATGATATTTCGTGCGCACGCGATTTCCGCCTCTTAACGTGGGTACATGATAGGATAGCGTGCCAGGCATGCGCAGTGGTGACAAACTCTAACGCAAGGCTTCGCCTACTCTCTACTAAAACTCTATCGTAAACTTGAAACTTAAAATGCAGGCTCGCCCGATGACGAACAAAGGGAACGTTGTCGTGCATAAAACTACCATACGCAGTGAAAAGACGATCGAAAATATTAACGCATTGCCACGCTTCAAATTATGCAGCACGGGAGATGCCGGCACGAGATGCTGTCAACAGGGTCACAGCGGTCCATGCGGAAGCAGCCGACGAGGTACGTGAGAACGTTTAACGCCTGTGTAACTTCACGGATCGGCGGACAGGCGATGAGATCACGCGGAACGGTGAATCTCTCGCGGCGGCTAGTTTCAATCGAGCGAGTCAAACGAGGCATCGCGGGCCTCCAGGGTAGAAACCCCATAGCTTATCTCCAGGCTTTCAGAACGAGGACACGCTCGCGCAACGTCGTCAGCAGCAGAGCACACGCTCCGCGTGAGGCATTCGTTTGGCAACCACAGCTTCGTACATGCCGTGTGTAACTCGGTATCCTCATCGCAAGGGCCATAGTGCCTGCAGTCACATGGGACAACACATTGAAAGAAGCTGTTCAGTTGCGATTTTTATGGCAGCTGGAATTTAAGGCCGCCTACTTGCCCATGGTAACAGTGACGCCTATACCGTTGATGCTGCAGCTCCCGACGGAGTTTGTTGGATTCATAAGTTCACGCTGCCACGTACACTGGAAAATGTTGACTTGTGATGAGCGTTACCGCCAACTGGTTGCAATAACAATTAAAGTACAACTGCATTGCCAAATATTGTGTTCCAAAGCAATGTTGTCTCGTCGTTGTGGCTGTTTGGAATACGGTAGCTAAAAGTGCAGGTTATGAAGTAAGCCTTTATTGGGAGAACTCGCGTCAAGCTAAACAAAGAGCACCCACAGTTTAGCAATACTTCGTGGCACAGCTGTCGAACACTTAAACGTGATATCTCCGTGGAACGTGCCTGTTCCTTGCACATGCGTCATAGTTATAGGGGTTGGAAAACTTCTACCACTTCTCACATCGCAAGTATATTTTCGTTAGGTTAGATTCAGCAACAGCACCCCATGATCTCAGGTAATACTCCAGGATCTGCAGAATAGTACAAGCTAAGGTCTCCAACGCTAAGAACTCCGCGGCCCCGAATGCTCATGAAAGTCATTCGTCCAAGCTCCAGCTCACCAAGGACTTAGATGGAACGAGGAGGCTCATTCCGTCGCCCGAGGTCTCACCTACCGGTCGACCCCTGGAACCTCCCAAGTTACCGAACAAAGAAGCGAGTATATGCGCACATACCATGAAATCGTCGCACACTACAGGCTGAATCGGCAAGTATACCCGAGAGCGGACAACTCACTAAGTAAGAAAAACGAGGTTTTGTGGCGAAAGTTACAGACCGAGGTTTTTCGATGGTTCTCACACTGTAGAATCCTGGGAGGCCCTGCTCTGCAGCCCAGATCCCAACGTCCAGCGCGACATCATCAGTCAAGCCCTTGCTGCTGCCGCGTCCCAAGGGATTCCGGCCGACAGCTAGGGGCGACGGGCCATGCCTGAACAATAGACTGACTTTTTAATGAAGTTTTCTCTCTCTCTCTCTCTCCAGCAAGGAAAGGGCTTCGTGCGAAA